GCTGCGCTCTCCCCGCCAGCCCCTGCCCCAGTTCATCCCGGCCGCTAGCGAAGGGGAGTTGAGCGCCGGATGATTAAGAGCTGCTGCTGCATCTCCCTCGGCTGGGGAGCGCAGGAGCCTGGCACCGGGGCTTGATTCCCAGGCAGGCTCGCTCATCGGGGCAAGAGTTTGCCCTGCTCAGTGTCCCCCATCCCCAATTCAGCCCTCATCTATTCACATGGACCCAGCCTCCGGACCCACCACCCCGTGCGTCTGCCCGAGCCGCATCGCCCTGGGCTCGCTGTTCTCTGGCTCTTTGCTCGGGGCAAGGGGGCGTTTTCCTCCCCGTGTGGTGGGGGAGATTGGCCAGGCTGTTCCAGGGCTGAGCCTTCCATGGAATCATAGAGCTGGAAGAGCTCTCAGGAGGTCATCAAGTCTAGCCCCCTGCCCAAGGCAGGACCAATCCCAACATTTCACATTCTAAGACAGGAGAGAATCCGCTCTGGTTCATTGCTTGGCTTCCCCTCCCACCATGATCACTGCCCAGAGAGGCCGCTTCGGCCATTTGTCCTGCTCGGAGAGGCAAGGACCGGTCAGTTGCAGAAGAGGAGCCAGACCTTCAGATGTTTACAGCGCTGGGTGTGGAGATGTTGCTATGTTGAGGGATGGGGGAGAAGGGCTGAGGAATCTGTCCCTTTTGGGGTGGGATTTGTTTGCTGCACAACTTTCTCCGCATCTCCTGAAAAAATTGGTGGCATAAAAATTGTGTTTAGTCAGTGGATGGATTTCAGGTATATGACAGTAATAATATATAACCTATTAAGTGTACATGTGGAAAATGGTGTATAGTGGACAGAGAAATACAAAGAACTAAGAGGATTCGTCTCTTAAAACCCAATGCCTGCAGTTCTCAGTTCTGGGATGAGAAGAGTAAGATGTAAAAGCAGGGAGTGTGGATCCGGCTAATGACAATGCCGTGTAATTTCTGGAGTGATTCTTCACACTTTTTCATTACTGATTTATGCATCATTAGTTTTCTCACAGTGCCCTACTGAAACTGATAGTTATGTGTTGGTGGTTGGGTGGGTGGGGAATTAGCATGCTTTTTCTCTTTCAAATTTTAGTTTTTCTTAAATCGTTTGCTGTACATATTCCCTGCTTGCACTTTTAATGCAATGTGATACCCGCAGCACTGCATAAAAGTCACTAAACTAAAATGATTCATGCTTTTTAAGCAGAAGAAGAAAACGGTTGCGAAGTTCAAATCTGCTTTCCCTAAAGTCAATGGGAACTTTGCCTTTGAATTCCTTGAGATCAGGATCTGGTCCTTAATTAAGAAAGAAAAACATCTTGGCAGTTGACTAGAGCTCTTGTTTACTACAAGGAATTGGGGTATTTTTCTGCACTCTGCTGAGCCAGTGTGATGTCCTTTTTTCAAGATCTGAGTTGTCTGATTTCAGTTTTTGCAGTGGCTTATGGTCAATATATCACACTTAGTCAATGATCAGAGGGGTAGCCGTGTTAGCCTGAATCTGCAAAAGCGACGAGGTGCCACAGGACTCCTCGTCGCTTTTACTTAGTCAATGGTGCCTATACAGATAAATACGTACTACGTATCTCAGAATACATCCTTTTTTCTCAGGCCTTCCATCACCATATATTACACCTGATAGTATTAGCACCTAACACTGTCAGGTGAGATTAGTGTTGAACAACATATTACTAACGTTAACAGAGCTTTCAAAACAGGATTTGAAAGTCTAACTTAATGTCCCTCACCCTCCCCTCCGTCCCCACTTCATCGTGATGAATTCCTTAGTGCTACTATCTTTTGAAAGAGAATCTAGGATATTTTGTTGTAAAAGAGAGGGAAGTAGTCAATTATATCTAATTTGTGCATTGTTTTGTCTGTTTTCCTTCCTGGCTTTATTGTTTTCAAACAATGATGGAATAGGGGCACTGTTTTTGTCATTAGCTTTCTCTTGACTCATTCAGGTACTTACATAAAAAATCATTTTAGAGAAATTGCTTTTGTCTTCAGGTACAGGAGTGGACTCTTTCAGTGACCTCAGGTCATGGACTATGCCCATAAATGGGCTGTTTTCAGAATGGAAAGGATGCAGAGTCAAAATGGACATGTGTTGGTTTCTCTTCTTCTTTATCCTGCCAAATAAAAGTTCTACAGTGCAGAGCTTTATTTGTTACTGTACTACATATTCTGGAGTGTTGGACAGAGTTAAGGTTGCCAGTGGCATCACATCTGACATTGTGTTCAAGGGAACATAACAGTTGTTGTTCCCATTGAAAATGCATGGGAAAATTCCCATTGAGTTTAACAGCAGCAGACTCGGGCTCAAACAGTACAGAAAAAATATAAGTTGATGCATCTGCAGAAAAGTACACTCTTACAAATCAGCTTCTTCCTAAGTAGAAGTCATGAGGCGTTTCAATATCATAGATATAGCATGTTTAATGTGAAGTGATGAAGCCTCAGATAGAAAGCTGAGAAAGGGAACTCTTGCTACCCCTGCATTGCAAAACAGTAGGCAGGAGAGAGCAAGCAAGAGAGAAAGATGTGAGGAGATGGTTAAAAAGCCACACTTTAGCCAGAGAATTTAGCAGTTATAAAAGCAAATAAAAATATAAATTCAGAGGAAGTTATAGTGGCATGACAGAAAGTACTAATAGTAGAGCCACATTTAGAATACTGCAGAGTTCTAGCATATTGTATATAGTACTGTTCATTTCATTGTGAAAAGGGATATGACTGAAATGTATGGGGGTAAGCTTCCCAGTTTAGAGCCTCAAGAACCAAAGATTAAGAAGTCATGGATTGGTCCAGGATGTGAGCTTTCCATACTAAATCCTTTCTGACTTTACTTTTTAAATTTAAATTGGCCATGGTCTTAGTCCACCAGGACAGAATGAACTGAAATGAATCATGGCTTTGAACCACCCATACTTCCTCCTCCTTGATATTTTTACTTTAAGGGCTTGTCCATATTAGGGCTTTTTGCACTGATGTCACTGCCTATTGCTTGCCTTGCTTCCTACACCTTGCCTTGGGCAGGATCATGTCATGTGATCTGAAGAGTCAAGAGACAAGCATATCCCTCAGTCCTCTAACAGCCTTTGAGATGGTATTAAAAGATGTCATTAAAGAGGGCAATAACTGTCCTCTTTGGAGAGAAGAGAAGAAGTTAATTGAGATGGGCTAGAGCAGCTGTTGTTGATGAAATCAGTTCCTGTTTCCTAGAAGACAGACAAACACACACAAAGAAGAGAGGAGAAGAGAGAACAGCACAGACAGAAAATTCAGCTTCTATCTCTGGTGTGAATTCTCGCTTGAAGCCACACTGCTGGAAGAACACAGGCACAGTACAGAGTCTCAGCAGCCACTTCGAGACCTGCATCGGGCTTTTTAGAACATTATCTTGCCTCCCATTCTGGTCACAGGTTTTCCTGCAGTTTTGCAAAATAAGTGGTACTGGCTGGAAAGCCAGACTTTTATTAAACAGAGAGGAAAAAGGAAGAAATAAAAAAGAGAAGAATTTAGGTAGGGAAGAAAAAGGATACACAGCTAGAGGAGGGAGGAAAGAGCCAAAATCTCACATGCCAGATGGTGTTTGTATTCACCTTGAACTACTGGAGATGGTGATGTCATCTGAGTCCCTTCCTCTGCACTCTCTGGTCAGGGAATCTCGCAGGATTAGGATGAAGGAAGTCTAAGGGTCCTGGGAAACAGTGTGGGTGGCAGCCATGATGCTGAAATTCATCCCTTTCTGGTCTTTCAGCCAGCAATTGTTGAGTTCCTTTCCAACTCTGCTAATTTTCACCCCAAAGTCTCCTTTTGAAGACCCCAAAAGGGAGAGAGAAGTGGACTAGCCCATTCCCTCATTATTTTTGCCACCAATTAGGCCTAATTTATTACAGCAATTTTGGTCCATTAATTTTCAGTTCCACACTTTTCTTGTTTTCAGGCGTGATGTTAACACAGTCCTTGAATTATATCAGTAGGTCTTTTTGTTTAGACTAATTTGGTCCTTTTATCTCTCTTTTGCATCTTTTTTCCATCAACATTTATTGCTATAGGTTATTGTGACATTTGATGAATTTTCACTCACTTTTTAGTTGGGTTCATAATTAGGGTAAATACATAGGCTCAATTATCACACATCATTAGTTAGAGCGAGGAAACAGATGACATGATATACAAGCCTGTATTCTTTGGAAGAAAGGATTGTGGAGTCCAGAGTTGAATTTTCTGACTGAAATAATTTGGAGTGGTAGCAAACCCACTCCTGACTCCTGCAACCTCTTACTCTCATGAATCAATATATGAATAAAGATTGTTTTACTTGTGTAATGTAATTAAAGGGTACTAATAAAAACAACATGTATAGGGTCAAAGTACTGTCTTGTAGATGTAGCAGAGCTGCACATCCCCTAAGAATATCAGGAAGCAATTCAGCCTCAGGCGTGGGCGTCTGGTCTGTAAGGCAAAACAAGGCACAGCCTCTACCCAAAGCTGGGGCTGTGCTGCCCTTGCCCCTCTCCTCTCTGCCTCCAACTGCCACATGGGGTTGCTGTGGAAAGTTTAGTGGGGTTAGGCAGGGTCCAGAGTGGCTGGGCAGGCAGAGAAGCAGGGAGCCTCCTCAGCAGCCTGCCCCTCAACCTGCATGGCACAGACACAAGGTTCAAATTACACTCACATGGTTTCTCCCAGTTGCTGCAGCAGCCTCAATTCCATTCATCTCCTGGGCTCCAGGAGGATTGCTAGCCCTGCTCTTCAGAGGCCACCACACCCAGCTTACTGTATTGCTGCTGCTGCCTCTTCTTCTCCTACTCAGCCCCCCCTTCCCTGCTTGACCCCTCACCCCAACCAGCCCCTACTCCCTGCACCTTGGCCCCAATGGGCAAAGTGGGCTTCCTCCTTGCTGACCCCCATTCTCCTCCTTTGCACGCTCCCTGCTGGGTTGGCTCCCCCACCCTTTGCTAGTGTGTGGCATGGGGATGGGTTTGGTTTCACTTTCCCAGTCCAGTTGCTATTGAGCCTGCTGCTGGCTCTTCTCCTCATGCCCTCTCCCCACATGTGCTTTCCATGGTTTCCCTGCCCTTTGCTAGCCTGTGTAATAATGTGTGTGTGTGGGGGGGGGGTCTAGTTGCCTAGCTCAATGAGCCCTGCAGAGATAGCTGCCCAATCCTCTCCCCCCATGCTTCCTGTTTTCTGTACCCTGCAGTGGAGTTGGACGGATGGGTGGAGTGGGAATGAGAGAAGTGGGGGTGAGGAGGTGGGGGAGAAGAGGTTATGGGGAAAGAATGGAGAGTGAGGGGGATGGAGAAGGAATGGGGATGAGGAATTGGGAGGGGGGGAGCAGGAGTCCGGCATGCAGTGTCCCTTCAGCACCAGCTGGGGCTCCCTGGTTAAGCATGCCCATCTAACCCTCACCCTGACAAGCCCTGCTCCCCTAAACCTGGACTCATCTAACAAGCTCATCATACCCTCCTCCTCCCACTGAGCCCCAGAAAGTTGCACCTGTATCCCCTATCCTATGAAATGAAGTCCCACTTCCTCAGCACCTGGACCCCACACCAAACCCCACCTCCCCTCGACTCCTTCACTGAGCTCAACCAGAGTCCCATTGCCCCTACATCCCCCTCCCCCAACAAGCCCTTGTGCATCCAACTCTCCCACTGGGCCACCCACACCCAGATTGCTCCACACCCAGTTCCCCCTCCCCCATAACTCCCTCCACACTTGGCTAATGCTGGGCTGAGCCTGCCCAGCCACAAGTGGTACACCTGGCAGAGAGGGGCAGGGCCTGCCCTTACACTGTGTTAGGGTAAGGAGCAACCTCACCGTGGAGTTCCTGTACTGGGGGGAAGCTGGGGTTTCAGGTGATTTCCCCGCCTCAGTGTAACCAGAGGTCTGTGTTCCCCTCTGCTATAAATGTGAAGATGAGGGGTTTTCTCAATGGCCTTCCCGTCACAGACTTCTAGTATGACATTGGACCCATCATTTAAGGCTTTGTCTCAAGGGGAGTTTTCCCACTGATTTAAGAAAAACAACAGTGGTTAAGGAACTTAATTATCCTGTTCCTCAGCTTCTCCATCCAAAAAAAGGGATAATAATAATACTTGCCTGCCTCACAGGAGTTTGTGTAAATTCATTGGTTTTAGTTAAGTGTTTTGATGTCATCAGATGGAAAGTGCTGAAGAGTGCAGTTTTGCAGAGTGTTTTTTTACAATTTCAACATCTTTCTGCATTATTCACACAGTAGCCACTGCTCCTGGCTTCCAAAAGAATTTCAGTTTGAGACTTTATGGGATCACTCCTCCTCCCATTGTGCAATGCTGAAGTAATTTGTCAGAAGAGGCAGGGGTAGTGAGAACAGGGCTCCATCCGGCCTCCCCCAGCATCACTTTTCAAAGCGCTAGTCAAAAATGCAGCTATGCCAACCAGCCTTATGCTGTTTTTGCAGTAAATGTGTGTGCTGCAGGGAGGGCTGGATCATTCGTGGCAGCAGGTACCCTGTGCTGGCCTGCTAAGTGGAACTGGGCAGAACAGTAAATGGCCAAAAGGAATGGATACCCCTCCACCTGGTCCAGAGGAGCCCTTCAGAGCTTTCCTACAGGTAAGCAGTGGCCTGAGCCAGGGCAATTTTTTTTTTACTTATTCAAATTCTGTGATGGTCAGGGCAGGCGGAACTCTTGGTTGGGGAGGACAGTGATCTTGAGCAGTGGGAGCCTGGGGAGAGAAGTCTGTGGAGGGAATAAAGGAGGGCAGAGGGAGGAGGTACATGGTGGCAAGAGAGAAGTTATTGGTAGGATAGGTCTCAACTCTTTTCAGTGGTTGGGACCTGGGGAGAACAGGGCTGGGGATTTGATTCCGTCACCCCTGGGGATATTGGGTCTACCAGTCTAATACATAAAGCTGGCCCCATCATGCTGCCTCAGAGGGACATTTTACTTTTTTGGTTATGAGAGCTGAATGGGTAAAAGCAGCAGCCAGACTGTATTTTACTGGCATGTCTTTTGGCAATTCTTATTCATTGTCTGAGGTGCTTACTGCTGTTGAAACAATCAACATAAGAAGCCCTCACTTGTTTGTGTAAAGAAGTGAAAATGAGATGGCAACTTTTACAGTCTGATTCTAGTATTCTTCTTCCTTTCAGGGGGCAAATGCTAGCTCAGGGCAAGGCCTGGCACCTTGTTTGATTGTGTGAAGAAAGGACAGACATTTCTCAATTAACTTTAAGTAGTGCTTGCCATTCTGTGTTCCCCAGAATCAATGAGAGGAGTTTGGGGTGTTTGCAAGCTGCCTGTATATCACCCATTCTGTGTTCCCCAGAATCAATGAGAGGAGTTTGGGGTGTTTGCAAGCTGCCTGTATGTCACCTATGAAGGTATCTAATAAACCTGTGACTGACATTTCTTAGTCCCAAATTTAGTGCTATTAATTGGGTACCTTCTTCATATCTGGCACATGGTACAAAACATGCTCCATTTTGTTGAGAAAGAAGTTGCAGAAAGTAGAGTGTCTTTTTCAAAAATAATTTGCTTGGGTTCAGGGATTTGGCTGGAAGGGGACAAGCATTCAGTGAGCAGGAATACAGGATGTGCAGGGAAGAGAGGAGGGAGACAGTGGGAAGGGTGCGGGGCTTGCGCTTAGGCTAGGAAGCTACTGTCTCTCCAAGTGGAAGCTTCACCAACCGCCCATAGCCTCAGGGACGGAGTGCCTGACAGAGCTCCTAGCAGGGCAAAGACTGTATGCCTGGTACCGCCCCTTGAGGAGGTGCATTTTAATTCCCCATGGGTGAGGATGGGGATGTCAGTCACAGGTTTATTAGATACCCTCACAGCCAGCTGTGTGAGCCAATGCATTGTTGTAGGAGGAGGGAGTGGAGCATTGCACAGTGCGTTCCTGGGGGAGTGGGGATAGAATAGCCCCCTTTGCTCCCTGCAGTGCAAGCACAGGAGTGAGCTCTGATCCTTACATGGGTTACACACTTGCCATTTTTCTGCTGCTTTCCTGCATAAGGGCCTGGCAGGGTTTGCTCCATAGGGAGCTCCTTACGAACTAGAAGACACTTTGATGGGAACAGAATGACATATTGCTGTTTGAGGAGAGGAATATGAATGCATGCTAACCACCAATCACACAGTAACAGAATTCAGATGCTGTATGTTTAGTTTGAGGGTACAGATAGTACCACCTTTACTCACATTGGCCAGCACCTTAGTCCACAAACCCTGCTAATTTCCATTGGATCTTTCACAGCCTGAGGGTGAGAGTGACAGAATCTGACCTAGCCGAATGACCAAAAGAGGCAGCCTGACAGAGCTAGTTGAAATTTTTTCAGCAACTTATTTTCATTCCAACTTAATTGAGAACAAAATGTTTCATGAAAAAGTGGGGTTTGAATTAGATCTTGCAGGTTTTCATTGAAAAAACAAATGTCTCTGTCTTAAAATTTGCAACGTTAACAGACAACTTGTCAGTTTGGGTGGCTGGAAAACAAACAAAAACAGGTTTTTGAGGGCTTGGGGGGATTTTGGTTGGCTGGTGCGGATGTTTGGGGGGTGTTCACCAATAAGAAAGCCAAACTATATCTGAATAGCTAACTATGTGAAACAATGAAAAAAATCATTGACATTTTTTGCAAGGGAGAAAAAATCATTTCCCGAGCAAACCTATTACAAAATTCCCTTCTTTTGGGCAGCCAAGATGAAGGAGATTGTATCTTTTTATTGGACCAAATTCTGTGGGTGGGAGAGAAAAGCTTTTGAGCCTCCACAGAGCTCTTCTTCATGTATGGGAAAGAAGAGCTCTGTGTAAGCTTGAAAGCTTGTTTCTCACACCAGCAGAAGTTGGTCCAAAAAGATAATATCCTGGGATCAACGCCGCTTCAGCAACATTACATACAACAATACCTTGGAGTCAGATTCAACTTCCCCCTTCCATAGGAGGGTGCTGGGCTTTCTCTCCTTGTGTGGTCAAGCCCAATTTCAGTCCTTGAGGAGTGCAAGGATTGTTCCCTGTTTACTCCCTCAGTGGACCCATCCTCTTCCCCCGCAACCTCACTGGCCCATAGAGCAAGTGTGTATATGGCCTTCAAGAAAGAATTTCTCTCTGTGTTATTGCAGGGGCAGTACCATGATACACCCATCCTTAATAGTAGGTTCTCCATAAATGGCACAGCTGAACCTTTGAGCATAGCTTGTAAAGGCATTAAATGGATATTAGAAGGAATAAAAAGGGTGTGATGTGACTGCTTATCCAAAGGACCTATTGTAGACGAGCTTCCTGATCTTCTGGACTAACTAGTCCTTCTCATATAGGACTTCCCATATAATTCAAAGCTGAGCCCTATCCATCTCAATGGGTACAGCTGCCATTTGAATATGAATGAACACATTCCAATAGACTTGAGGATGAATTCATTTTTGCATTGCAGCTTTAGCTTGTGTAATCATTTTTGGCTTATATAGGCACTGTTTCTTTGCTATGTCTGTGAACTACTGTGCTACATGTAACAGTGGAATAAATAAGTGAATAGTGTTCAGTGTGAAAGGAATTTGTTCCTGAAAGTCTTCTGTAGACAAAAACGACATGGCGCACAAGCACAGTCATTTCTATTTGTCTTGTTTGAAGACAATGTGCATTTTGAAGAGATTCATGCTTCTTCCCTGCAGAGAGTCTCTCTGAAAGAAATGAGGAGTAGATATCCTGGAAGGTGCTGGGAACTGAGGGTGCTCAGGACCTTTCAGAGTTTAGGTTTCAGAGCTGTCTACTTAGTAGAGTTATTATGTAATGATGATTCACTTCCTTAAGGCTATATCTACATTGGCAATTGAACAATAAAGCTTTTGTCTTTTAGAGGTGTTTAAAAAACAACCCAAAAGACAAAAGTTTTGCTGTAGCAAGTGCCAGTGAGAACAGTGGGTTGTCAGCAGGAGTACTGTCCTACCAAGAAAACTAACCCTGTTTATTGTGGGGGGAGGGTGGAAATATTTTGTCCGGAAGATTTGACAAACAGGAGCAACTAGTCCAGCTTCTAGTGACATGGCTGTAGTGACACAGCCATGTCGTTAAAAGTATAGTGTAGTGCATAGTGTAGACAAAGCCTTAGTTCCAGAATGGGGAGAGGTTCCAGCACAGTCTCTTGATGCTTTAGGTGGCAAAGTGCAATAAATCATGTAATCAAAAGATTTGGATTTCAACAATGCACTTAGCAGTTTTGGTAGCACTAGATAATTTTCTTTATTGACTTTGGATAGGCTTAAGCCATAAGTATTACAGAAACAGAAGGGATAATAGCAACATACCAATGCATTAAAATGTATCCCTAGAGAATTATTTCTGTAGAGTCATTCACACCAAATCTGCTGAAAGAGTAGCAATTTGAGATCTATAACAGTTATGTGGGTCTATTTTATTCCTTTTGCGGAGGATCATTTTAAAAGGAGGCATTATGTGTTTTAATCTACATAGTCTAGAACTGTTTCCTTATGTACAGCCAACTAAATTAGCATTATTGACCACAGCATGTGGGCCATATTCTAATCTTAGATGTGTGATGTGCAGGGCTACACAAAATCTGCTGCTGCCCTTGTGCAGACCTTGTACTTACTGTTGGGGCTTTTCAGGCAAGCAAAACAAATTGTAAACTCTTTGGAACAGGGACTGCCTTTTTGTTGTGTGTTTTTGTACAGTGCCTACTGTAGCAGAGAGGCTTGTAGGTACTATTGATATTGCGGTAGTGCCTAGGAATTGTTCTTATTAGTATTTATTTTAATTGTTCTTATTAGTATTTATTTATCTGCTCCAATAATGCCAGTCCACCTGAGATTAGAATCTACAGAAAAACAAGCTGTCACTGCTCCTCATTCATTCCCTCCTAGGAGGGATGAGGAGAAGGGTTATGTGATGGCATAATGGTAAAACACAAACTAAAAAGGATTTTTATGGGGCTGTCAGTTAATCACAGTTAACACAAGCGATTAATGCAAGACAAATTAACTAGATTAATTAATCCCAGTTTTAATCACACTGTTAAACGATAATAGAATATAATTTAAATGTAGCATCAATATTTTGGATGTTTTCCTACATTTTCAAATATATTGATTTCAGTTACAACACAGAATACAAAGTGTACATTGCCCACTTTATACTATTACTAGACAATTTACCCAGTGTTGTCCAAGTCCTTCAGGGCAGATGTGTGTGTGGGGTATGTGTGTGTGAAGAAGTCCGGACTGTGGGAGTGGGCATGTGGGGGAAGTAGGATTGTGGGAATGGGTGATGCAAGACTGAGAGTTGGGGGTCAGGAGGAACTCAGGGTGAGGGCCCCATGTGGCTGGGCTTTCTCCCTCCCCCCAGCCAGCAGCAACTTTTCTCACCTCTGCCCCCAGGTCTTCTGTTTCCCCTCCCCCCCA